TGATATCGGCGTTTACCTGTCCATTCGGGCATTTCCAATGGGTGCGTATGCCATTCGGGTTGAAAAACGCCCCCCTAATTTACCAGCAGATGATAAATAATTGCCTGTGGGGATTGGTACGGCTATTACCCGAAGCGGAAGCACACGTGGACCAGGATGTGTTAGATTATCTGGAGTTAGCCCCTCAGTCGCCGAGTGACCAGATGGGCGTCGAACGCAGCATGACACCACTTGTGGAACAGATGACAGTTTTCAGGCGCAACATTCCCGCGCCATCCCAAATGGGGCCGGTCTTGGGGCGTAGCTCATATATTGATGACATCGCGCATGGGGCGGCCACGTGGGATCAGCTATGCGGTGATCTAGATGCGCTGCTCTATCGGTTACGGTATTGGAGTATCTCAGTTAGTTTGCCCAAGAGCGAGAAGCGTGTCATACCATATCTCTCTCATGAGATTGGTGCTGAAGGGATACGTGCCACCCCGAAGATCATAAAAGGCATTCAGGAGTTACCGTTTCCGTCTACCCTGAAAGGAGTTCAGTCATTTCTAGGCATCCTGAATTACTACCCCAAGTTCATTGAGGATTGCGCTGTGGTAGCTGCTTCACTCTATGAGTTAACCGACGACCAAGTGCGTGCAGGACGAGACCTGTCTCTTTCGAGATCCTGAAGAAGTAGGTTGTATCTACACCTCTACTCAGGCACCCAGATCGGACGAAACCTTTTGTGATCATCCCGCATGCAAATCAGTGGGCCGCTTGTGCAGTTCTAGGACAAATGCATGACGGACTAGTTCAACCGGTTCGTTTCACGGGGCGCGTCCTGAGTGACGCTGAACTCAAGTATCATATTGCTGAGAAAGAGGTTCTCGCTGTGATGCGAGTGCTCCATGTGTTCAAGAACATGATCGAAGGATGTCCGCTGATAATCTACATTCGACATTCAGTGTTGAAGTGGGTCATCAACTCTAAGACCGCTGAAGGTCGTTTGGTGCCATGGGGCGTCGCTCTCTCACAGTACGATTTGGAGATTCGGAAGGTCAGTCGAGACGAGGATGGTTTAGCCGCAGGCATTACCCCCAGAGAGCACTTGGATGAAGTCGCCGAAGTACTCATTCCGGCCAAGGGGCGCGTCAAACCACCCCCAGTTGTGAGTGTCGAAA